AAATAAAAGTTTAAAGGAGTACGAAAATCTCCATTTTCTTATGGCATTATTGATTTGGTCATATTAATGAGACATTATTATCAAGGTTATGTATATTAGATTACTTAATATCATATGACTTTGAGTTAGATGAAATCTGTGTATTTTGTCTTAAATGAAATGATGACCAATAAGTCATTTTCTTGGAAAGGGGCAAAAGCCAAAGAATGTTTGAGTTGGTCTACATTGATGTATGTGGACCTTTTGAAACTCAGATTAAAAGAGATTTTTCGTAATCCATCATCTATACTAATGAGTTTTAAGGTTGAGTAATGTGTGTCTTACGAAACACAAATCGAAGCCTTAGAAAATTCAAGAAGTATAAATTTGGATTAGAGAAACAACATGACTAAAGTATTTTTTCGATTTAATCGAGGAGAAGAGTACTTGAGCATGGAGTTGCTTTATTACTTGGAATTTCATGGAGTCCAAATTGTAATGGATACCTTCTAGGACTCATTTGATGGAGTCTTCGAAAGGAACAATCGAACCTTATTAGATATGGTTAGATCCATGTTAATTTTCACCACTCTTCCACATATCATTGAGGTTATGCCTTATTGAACTCGATTTACATTTTGAATAGAGTTCCCGAAATCAGTTGTAAGGACGTCATATGAATCATGGTGTGGCGAGAGGCCTTGTCTTCAACATATGTGAACCTGGGGTTTGTCTAGCATATGTAAGAAACTTTTAACTGATAAATTGGAATCTAAAAGTGAGAAATGTTATTTTGAAAGATATCTAAAAGAAACACGAGGAAATTATTTCTATCTTCCTGGGGAACATAAACTAATTGTCTTTAGATAGACACGTTTCTAAGAGAATATTATTTCTTTAAGGAACAAGGTTAGAACCTGGTTGACTTGCCAATTGGGGTTAGACCTATTGGATGCAAATGAGTTTTCAAAGAAAACAGATGCAAAGGGCAAAATACAAACCTATAAGGCCAGATGATTGATAAAGGTTATAGTCAACGTGGAAGCATTGACTATGATGAGACCTTTTCACCAATTGCCAAAATTAAGTCCATTTGGTTTTTACTTGCAATAACTGCATACTATGACTATGATATTTGATAGATGGATGTTAAAATTATTTTCCTTGATGGAAAATTGGAGGATATATATATGATACAACCTAAAGGTTTTATATCCAAGTCAAAGTCAAAATTAGTATGCGGGTTACAGAGGTCCAATAGTGGACTTAAGCAAGCCTCTAGGAGTTGGAATATTTGTTTCTACAAAGTTACATAATTGTTTGGTTTTGTGAGAAGTAATAAAGATCAATGCGTTTATAGTAAACGCAATGAGGATAATATTATTTTTATCATATTTGTATGTGACATATTGATAATGAAATGATGTTCCTGACCTATAGTCCATGAAAGGTTGATTATCAAGTACCTTCATTGTGAAGGACTTGGGTGAAACCTGCTATACTCTTGAAATTAGGATCTATCGAAATAAACCTAATAGAGTGTTAGAGTTTTCACGGTCCACGTGTGTAGTCAAGGTACTGAAGTGTTTCTCCATGAAAAATTCTAACAAAAAGGGAATATTCCAATGGTCATGACATCAAATTGGCAAAGAAAGATTGTCCTTCCGTTGATGCCAAACTTGGGCGCATGAAGAAGATCCCATATGCTTATGCGATGCAATGGAGTCTATCATGCATGTTATGACATATACTATATGGCTTATACACTTAGTATCACTTGCAGATTCCAATTAAATCCTAGGGAGGTGTATTGGAAGACTATAAAGACAATTATTTAGTACATTAGATGGACTAAAGAATATATTTTATTCTATGGTGGGAATAATAATTTAATAATCTTAAAATTCAATTCAATGATGAGGCAGTGAGTTGGAATAGTTCCAAGTATTAAACCATTGTGAATTCAACTGCAAAGGCCAAGTATATTGTTACATTAAAAGCCTATGGAGGTTGTTTAGATACATGAGTTCTTAAATGAACTAGGGGTAGTTCCAAGTGCCATTTATCTAATATCTAAATATTATGATAAAATAGTGCAATTGCACGGGCAAAGGAACCAAGATCCAACAACAAAATAAACATGTACAAAGGCGCTATCATTTATTTAGAGATAATTGATAGAGGAGAAATAAGTTAGAATGTGTTCAAACTGAACATAACTTGAATGGTTCGTTCACCAAACCATTGTGCATAGTTGAGCACAATAGTCATTTTAAGAAAATGTGTATTAGATACATTGGTGATTGCCTCTAGTTCAAGTGGGAGATTGTTGGTCTATATGTCCTAGAGACAATCTTTTTGAGGACATATATACATGATCACATTAATAATTATATTGGATTATAATTATGGTATTGCAATTAATTAACTAATTGTTTGATTGTTTGTAATTTATTAATTAATTGCTCCCTTGAGTTAATACTATCATTAACAGAGTGAGATGCTAATTGATAAAGTATAACTCTCAAATTGCCTCAAGCGATGATCATTAAAAAAAGAGATATTAATGATACGCGATAGATTGACATGTGGTCTGCATCACATTCTTGAAGAATATAGTATGTCTCACTGCTATGAATAATTGTTATTCGTGACGGACACATGGATACTTTGGAGAGTATTGGTATACCATACCGATAAACCATTTGTTTATGTGTCTATGGCAGTATCTGTGTGTGGAATGGTGTATTAGTCCTTTGACTTGAGGTCAATACGCAATTCATGTATAGAGTGATTTGCTTAGTCCTAGTCCAAAACTTACGCCCTTATGGATAGTACGGGCTTGTGTTGGGTTGGTCACGATATACATGGACTTGGTATTTGAGCCAAGATAGGATTCATTCCTCGAATATGGGTTCGAGAGAACACTCGTTTTCTCTATACTGGGTTGATAAAGACATTGGCAAATGCACGTGATTATATTTGAAATGGTGTTCAAATATAATTGATAAAATCAACCTGTGAGATGAGATAAAATGATTAAGCTGTTTGGATAGACACATGTTCAAGTCCTAAGCTTAATCGAGTGGTTCGTGAATGAAGGGACTGTATCACTATTGAATTCTACACTAAAGATTTGTTTGCTTTGTCTATGTAAACGTACTTCATATTTTGAGTTCGTCCTTCGACGCAGTCTAGGAGTTTCGTAAGGATCATAAATTAGATTTATGTCAATATATGAAGGCCTATAGGGTCACATAATATGCAATCTATTTTCCGGCTAAGAGTGAATCGAGAGTGTTAAATATTCAATTAGATTGGAATATTTATTTTTGAGTAATGAAATTATTTTCTATTAGATAGAAAATATTTAATTAAGTTAAATTGGACTTTTACTTAATTAAACCATTAATTGGATTAGGTCCAATTACCTATTGGGCTATAGAATTTCTAAGGCCCATATAACTAGGTTTGACCTAATTATAAATACGTCATTATCTCATTATAGTTTTGAACGATCATTAGATGAGAGAAAAGAGATATGCCGTAAGAACAAAACACTCTATTGCTTTCTGACTGAGGATTCCTAGCGTCTTTACCGGAAATGATTCATTGCGTTGGATCGTGCAGCGGGATTTGGATTGCGTGGATACCATAGTTGAAGACAAAGCTTAAACTGTAAGTTTTCGTTAACTATTCATTCGATCTAGGATCATATCGAATAGCTATAGTCGGATCTTCGTTGTTGATAAGAAAATTTTAAAATTCCGCAGCACATGCGATTTATTCGTACGTCAAAAATCCAACATCCTTACCATGTGAAGGAATGGATCGTCTACTAAGAGTGGATAATAATGCATGAGTGTTGGTCCACTAGAAGTTGATAGTTTAATAATATTGGTCTGGCGACCTATATAAATTAACACAAAAGAATCAAAGAGGCATAAACCATTTAGGCTTTACTTTTTCATATTTGTATTTGTCTTTTAAATTCTAGCATAGTGAGCAGCTATAATAAAGTATGTAGTAATATTGTACAAGTGTTCATGTATTATGATAGAAAAACTAATATGAGTAGCTAAATTGGTAGTCCTCACAAAAAAGATTATCATTATGTAATAGTTATTGTATCTTTGTTGAATATTCGACTTTCGCCTTATATTTTCTATATTCTTTATACATTAGGACCATACAATTTGAGGTATGAAGCGTGAGACACAAATTGTTTTGAACCAATTGAATCACGAACCACCGATGACTTGTAATCACTGTTCTAAAAATCAGCCTAGGCGCTAGGCGGGGCCCGGCCACCTCTGATTTGCACAAATCGGCCAAGCGGCTAGGTGGTCTTAGGCGCTCCTAGGCGGACTTGACGGGCTCGGCGGTAATTTTTCAGTTTTTTTTTAAATACTAATTACATTATTTTGTTCACTCATTTTTTCTGTAAAATATATTAATATTATTATTTGAACTTAGGTATGTGGATTTATCATAAGTTGAGATAATTTATTTTGTAGGTAGTTAAAATAAAAGAATAAAATTCTAGGTACGGGCGCCTAGCTACTTTTAGAACATTGCCTGCAATATGCCAGGAGGGATCCCGACGAAAAAGTCTCTGACGCTCAAGTTAGTGTTTGTCCATGATAATAATTAGAATGCGTATGTAGACATGTGCACGTATGTGTGTGGTTTAAAGTAAAGAACTTAGATACCCTTTTATACTTAGGGTAACTTAGTGGCTAAGAGAGTTCAAGTTAGGAAAGAGATCCTCTTGCATCTACTTTCCTAACTGACAAGATCTCTCGAATCTTGAAGTGTCCTTGACAATATACACTTCCCATTCATGAAGGATTATTCCTCCTGTTGCATGGCTCCTAGTTTTCGAGGTCATCAGGCCGACCTCCTTACGTACCTGCCACCAGTCTTATTGAGGACATAATTACGACCTCAACCCACCGACTTATTGGTTATCAGGTCTCTACTTCAACTCAACTCCTTAGGTCTCCCGACCTCTGAGCTACCTGAATCTCTCCGGTATCCAAACTTCCTTGGTCTACCGACCTCTGAGCTTCACGGTAGAATGTAGATGCTGAATTGAATGAAGCTTGTTTTAACTGTTAATAATCGAGCTAACCCATGAAGTCAGCTATCCAAGTTATTCTGGACGCTATATAAGAGCGTGACAAAGTTTTGTTGAATATAGTCGAAGAGTTTTTATTTTGAAACCATATTGTTGTGTTTGAATCACGATTAGTCGACAAATATAATTTGGTAATATTTTAATAAAAAAGTACAGAATTATAAATTTATTTTATTTTACCGAAATATTGGGTTGATTCGAATTATATAATCAATTTACCGAAATTCGAACCTAAGCATACTGCACCTTTGACACAGGAACAAGTATGCAGTGTTAGGACATACATAAATACATACATACATATATAATCAACCCTCGGATCCTTGCCTTGTCTCGTGATCTTTCTTCTCCATTCTCGGTGCAATTTTGTTGTCAAAATCGGTGATTTTTTTTTTTTTTTTCAATGTCTATCATCTCAATAATTATGCCTAGGCCATCCTATCGATTATATTAGCTATCCTTTTTTGTTTCGCTACAGCGAGAGGATTTTATGGTGGGATTTCCTTCTGCTGTTGTAAGGAGGCAACAATTCTTAGTAAGGTGCTTGGGAGGCCACTGCAATAGTAGCACCAAGAAATTTAGCAGTAACGCTATAAAAATGCAAGCTTCAGTGGGCGGCGGCGGCCCTTCTTACCGGGAAGCTGATGCAATAAGCGTTTTGAGATCAATTACTCCATCTCTTGACAATTCCAGGCATAAAGGCCAAGCTGGTAATGATAACAAAAGCTCACTTCTTTTTTTACCTCTCGTTTTGTTTTGAATTTAGCTAGTTGTTCTGTTATAATCTTGCATTTTTAAAGTTAGTGGTCCTATGAGTTTACTATAGCATCACATTGTCAACCCCTATCCGAAGATAGTTTTATGTTTTCGTTTCGGATTATGAGTGACATTTTAAAACCTTTTGAGATTTGAGACTTTTTAAAATTTTTAGATTTAAGAATTTTAGGTGTGGAGGTGGGGTTTGGGGGTGGTATTTCATATATGTTTTTTGTTTATGAAATCTCACCTAATCTCAAAAAATCCTAGCATCACAGTGTCAGTTTGTTAAGACTTTTTGAAATTTCAAATGAATACCGCAGGACTTGTAAAAGTCTTTAAAAGGTGCAAGTTAAATACACTAGGTTAAGAATCCTAAATGAATAATGTATAGATAAAAGCTGCATAATTTGGTCAGTTGCACAGTATGAAGATGTAAAGGGTAAAGGTTGGGAAGAAATAGCGATTACATTGATTGAGGTTTAACCTTTTTATATGGACCGTTACTTAGTTAGATTTTGCTATTATCAGCAAAATATGGAATATCAGTGTTTGCAAACTTTATAACCACTGAAGCTCAACTTGTTGGTTGAAACGACAGAACTCTTTTGTAACCTAAGATTGAAATTACTCTTTTTAAAGTTTTCACACTTTCTCTATGTCTGTCTTGCACTTCTGCCTTTTAAGGTTGAGCATACTTTTTCACTTTGATAATAGATGATTTGGTATGTGTTGCAAGAAGAAAGGTTTTTATCTGTAGGGTGCTTATAATTAATTGAGGGCTGGTAGTTAATTTTATTAATCAAATATACGCTGTGGATTTTCAACGGCATACGTCATGATAAAGGGGTTTAAAATGTCTTGATCAGTTGATCTATTGAGACATATCAGTATGTAAATCTCAGTAATTTGCAGCTAGAAATCTGCTACATTCAGTTCACTTATTATTCTGGTATGGCACTCAATAGAATCTTTTACCTTATGTTATTTAATTTTCTAGCAATACCTGATCTAAGATGCTCTGGACAGTCATGTTGAAGCTCGCAATTCATTTAACAGCAGCAACAATCTAGAGGAATCTATAAGTTTTCATTTCAGTAAAATGATTCGTCTTAGTTCAGATATTTATAAGGTAATTACATGCACGCTTAATATGAACTAAAATGACATCATTTAGACGCTAATTAAAATTGCTGTTGCAATACTAATAAAAGCAAGTTTGATAAAGTGCGATATAAGGCACTAGCTCAGCATGCATGAAGAGAACTGATTTCCAACATTCCCCTCAAGTGTGGGCCCTCGCAGACTTGAATCATGCCCAAATTGGACACCGAAGAGCGAAAATGCTGCCCAATGAGTACCTTAGTAAACAGGTCAGCCAATTGAAGTGCCCCATCTTCTCTGCTTGAAGCTTGATTCCATGAGGTAGAGGTGTAACTGCCTCATTATGGAGCATGTTCATATCTTCCACTAAGTCTAAAATATATTTCTTTTGACATAGTAAAGTGCCATCATGTCCTCTAACAATCTCAACTCCCCAAAAATACTTGGTTAAGCCCAAATCTTTAATAGTGAATTCCTTGTCAAGGAAAAACTTGAATTTTGACACCCGTTCTTTACTAGAGCTAGTAAGTAGTACAGCATCCATAGACGAAAATTGCTAGAAAGTGACCATTACTTTGCATAGTGAATAGACAATGGTCATAGACAAATTGAACCAAGCCAAACTGAGATAGCTTCCAATAAAGTTCATTATTCTACTCGTTGGATGCTTGCTTAAGACCATACACTCCTTTTTAACTTGCATACCTGTCCTTCGTTTGCCCTTTTATATCCTAGAGGTGGCTGCATGTACACCTTTAAGATAGCCATGTAAGAAGGCATTATTTACATCAATTTGATGTGAATTCCATCCCTTCATTATAGCTATGCAAATGAAAATTCTAACTGTGAATAGTTTAGCCACTGGAAAGAAGATGTCAAAGTAATACACTCCTTCATATCATTTGTCTACCATCCTGGCCTTGAACCTCTCTACAACTCCATCTGCCTTCCTCTTTATTTTTTATATCCATTTGGAACCAATAACTTTCTTACCATGTGGAAGTTGAGTGAGTTACTGTATTTTTTTTTTCTTTTTTTTTTCCTTTTTTTTTAGAGAGTTCTATTTTTTCCCAAAGCCTCAATCTCTCTTTGCATAGCTTCCACCCAAGCTGGGTGTTTATTAGCACGACCATAATGTGTTGTTCCTTTTCAGTGGATGCATTTATCATGCATAACTAAGGTTCTGTATCAAATAAAGTGTGAGAATGAGACACATTAGTGCAAATGTAATTCTCCATCCACTTGGGTTCTTTCTTGAATCTTGTCCTTCTTCTAAGAACATGATCATAAATCCTTATGATCATTTTCCTCAAATATTGCTTGTGCAAGGAACATTCACTCCTCTGATTTTTCTCAGTAAATGGATAATCATTTTCAAAGAAAACTACATCCCTGTCTACAAAAAGTCTCTTAGCTTCAAGATCATATAACCGGTAACCCTTTTTGCCTCCCGCATATCCCAGGGAAAGCACTTGATCTCTCTGGAGTCAAATTTAGTTTTTGATGGCAAAACATTGGCAGCATACACAAGACATCCAAAGGGCTTCAATCTGCGATACTCAGGCTTCATGTTGTATAATCTTTTAAATGGACTTTTCAAATTCAAGACTGATCTAAGTGACATATTTGCCACAAAAGCTGATGTGTGAGGACTGCAAAGGCCGGAATGTAAAGCTAAATTTATCTTAAACAACATAGATCTGCCACCTTCGGTAGATGTCTGTGTTTCCTCTTCACTGCACAACCAAACTGTGTTTCAACCATTTTCACAAAGGAACTACTAATGTTCCTGTTTGTGACTTGTGCATCATTAGGTAAACCCAAGTCCCCTGATTGAAATCATATGCTATAGTGAGAAAGAATGGAGTATGTGTCAAACAACTGTCCCTGCAAGGCCCCCAAACATCAATGTGTAATGTATGAAATGTGTAATATATCAAAGCATGCTGTAGTTTGTATGCTGCTATTTGGAAAAAACCAATCTACGCTGTTTAGATTTGAAGCAAACTTCACAAGATTTAATGGCATTCTCACTGTCTTAATTACACAATTTTCCAAAAATTCAAATGACTCATTGTTGTGATTTGTGCCAAGTTCCCAAAGTCATGTTACAGAGAACCATTTCAGACTTTGTAATGTTAGTCTTTAAGATGTACAGATTCCCAACAAGCTCTCCCATCTGATTCATCTTTTCATTCTTCAGGTCCTGTAAATAACACTTTGATGCTGTGAAAACCCAGTTTAAGCCACTATTGGCACAGAATTGTACAAGTGACGATAGGTTGTACTTAAATGTGGGCACAAATAGCACATCAAGCAAAATAAAGTCATCCTTTAAGAAAACTTCTCCTTTGTGATATACAGGTTAAGAGCACCATCAGGCGAACAAATAGACACAGATGTGTTAAGACGCTTGATGTTTCTCATCATCTTATCTTGTGTGCATATATATGTCCACTAGCACCTGTATCTACACCCATTCATCCCTACGACTGCTTTCTATTGTGGACAATGCATAATGAACATCATTATCCTTTTCATTCATGCAAAGCTAACAAATTGACCATAAGCCATCTGTCCTTCTGATTCCTTGGTTTTGATATGCTCAGTGAGTTCCTGCAACTGCTAAGTAACTGATGAGATATCATCTTGTCTTGCATTATCCCTCTCAGGTTTTCCCTGCCTTTGAATTTTCATTGTTTGCATAATTTCTCCCTTTTGATCCTTCAACTCCTTGTACCAGTCTGGCACCCCATGGATTTGGAAGCAAATAGTGATACTGTGACCACTCATTTGTATAGTAGGTGATCCTTCCTTTATTATACCCTCTTCCTTGTGTTGAAGTGTTTTTTCCACTTCCCTTTGACTTAGCAACCATTGCTGCATTATCAATCCTTCCTCCATACACATTTTGCACCATTCTTTGCCTCTCAGCTGTGGAATTGGCCTTATTGACTGAGGGCGAAGGATCTAGAAGCATTATATGGTTTTTTATGTTATCATTGTTGTCATAGACTCCCATCAAGAACTGAATCAACTTTTGTCTCTGCCTCATGTTGAAACATCAACCTCCCTTTTTCACAATTACATGCTTGCAATGGCACAATAATACAAACTCATCCCACAGTTTCTTCAGTTTGTTAAAGTACTCCATTACAGAATTATTTCCTTGATTCAAGTTAGATTTTTTCCTCTGCAGTTTGTATTTCATTAGACCATTGTTTTCCCCAAATCTCTGGCAAATATCCTCCCATAAATCCTTCGAAGTATCAGCATCTATAAAAGATTTAGCTATATCTTTTGAGAGTGAGTTTAATATCCACGATAAAACCATCCAGCCAACCTTTTTCCAAACTGCATAATCATCATCGTCTTCATCTGGTTTGGAAACTTCACAATTAACGAATCCAAGTTTTGCTTTCAAACCCAAAGCTATGATCATAGATTGCTTCAAGAGAGAAAAATGATTCGAGATGAGCATCATACCGGGTTGATCTGAGCCATGAAGTCCAAATGAATCCTGCTCCATCTTCCTCGATCCTGATCCAGTACTCGCATTTAACATCGGCCATGGATTCTCTCTCCTCTGCTCCATTTGTAGCTAATTGAGCTGAAATTACACTTCTTTGAGCTGGAATTTCCCTTCTCTGATTCAAAATCCGTGTGTGTTCTTGCTGAGTTAAATAAAGTCGCTCACATTTAACCTGCCCTATATACCTTGTTGAAGCTCGGAATTCATTTCACAGAGCAACAATATAGAGGAATCTATAAGCTTTTATTTTCAGTAAAACGATTTGTATGTACATGGATTTCTTTTAGCTAAGATATTTACAGGGTCATTCACGCTTGATATGAACTCAAACGTGTAGACCCTAATAAAATTTCTGTTACAATACTACTAAAATCGAGTTTGATAAAGTGCGATATGAGGCACTAGTTCATGCATGAAGAGAACCGATTCCCAACAAGTCAGAGGGGTGAATGACATTAAATGTCACTACAAGTTCCAATCATCTTGGAAAGAATCATCTATTTAGTATTAACTTATGTTGAATGCCTGATTGCTTTACCAGGGAAGATAGCGGTTGTCGGTGGTTGCCGAGAATACACTGGTGCACCATACTTCTCTGCTATTTCCGCATTAAAAATTGTTAGTTATCCCCTCACTCTCTCTGTGTTTTTGTTCGTGTGTGTTGTGTGTGAATGTGCCCATGCACATTTGTATCTTTTTTTTTTGTTATTATTTATTTGTTCTCCTTTAATCCATTTTTCTTTGGAACAAAGAATCCAAGAGATTAAGTTGTTTCCTTTTTAAATCAAAGTTGTGTCTTTCTTTATTTTTAAGAAAATAAATAAATTAATCAGTATTATAGATTGAGTATCTTTATTTTCTCAGGGAGCTGACTTGTCACATGTATTCTGTACAAAAGATGCTGCTGTGGTTATTAAGAGCTATAGTCCTGAGTTAATTGTGCACCCTATCCTGGAAGAATCATACAGCGTTAGGTGAATATTGAATTAAATCAACTTTTTGTTGCATATTTTATTAGTTCACCATTTTTATTTTTATTTTCTATTTAAGTGCCATTCAATTTACTGGTATTTTCCAGGGACGAGGATAAGAGATCAATATCAGCAAAAATTGTTGAAGAGGTTGATAAGTGGATGGAAAGATTTGATTGCTTAGTAATTGGTCCTGGCCTTGGAAGAGACCATTTTCTCCTGGTTAGCACATTACAGGAGGAGTATTTATGTTTGTGTTTTATAATGTTGATTTACTGTTTTAGATAATTAATAGAGTCTAGTTGTACTTGATCCGCAGTTTTTATGCTGGTGACACTAATTCAGCCTTCTTCCTAACAATGCCAAAAACCTTATATAAGGTTTTTATGTGTTATGTGTAATAAAATGGTTTTTGATCCCATCATTTTTCTTGCTTCATGTGTGAACATAAGTATTTTTCTGCAGGACTGTGTAAGCAATATAGTGAAGCACGCTAAGCAATCAAATGTCCCCATGGTTATAGATGGGGTATGCTTTAAGACTTGACAAAATTGTATCTTCTCAAAATGTATCTACCTAATCCTTTCCATAGCATAATAAGAGCTTACACGTAGCGAAGTCTTAAAATCTTTTGCTTACTTTTTGCAGGATGGACTTTTTCTCGTTACAAATTCTCTTGAATTGGTTAGTGGCTATCCCTTGGCTGTCCTGACCCCCAACGTGAATGAGTATAAGCGCCTTGTTCAAAAAGTTTTACAGAGTGAAGTAAATGATCAAGATGGAACTCAGCAATTATTTTCTCTAGCCAAAGGGTAAAAGTTCGTTGTAAATTTATTTTCCTGTGTTAGATCTTCTGTCATGATAATGTTGTAATATCAGGTTAGATCACTTGAAAAGCATTGAATTTTCATGCTTATTTTATATTAAAACTTAATTACGTTTCTTTCCTTGAGAGGTAATATTGTATGTGCACTCTTCTATTTACAAAATAATGGGATGGTGAAATCCTGCTGATTGTTGAACTATATATTTCCGTGATCAGATTAGGAGGTGTGACCATTTTAAGGAAAGGAGCATCGGACTTCATCAGTAATGGTGAAACGGGTACTTTTTTCCTAATTCAGATACCATAAAAGAGAAAATTCACCATCCCATTTTTCCCCTTTTTCCTTTTGTGTTGGGGAAGTAGACCATTATTTTGCCTTTTCTCCCATGATACAAAGCACACAATGAACTCAAAATCTTAGATGGACTATAATATCCCTCTACATAAGATCATGTGGTGGAAGGTATGTTAAAAATCCTTAAAGCTCAGGATTGCAACACCGAAAATTATAACAAAATCATGTGGAGAAAAGTAAATATCACCTTACATAACTGTTAACATAAATGGCACCGGTGACAATTTCCTTAAAATGCATGATGGGATTTTTCTTTTTCTATTTGTTTTTTATTTTTTTGATGATACGAAAAATACTTGACGTTAACCCGAGGATACATGGTGACGATGTATGCTTCGACATTGTCCTTCGCACACTCCTTTTTCTATTTGTTTTATATGGGTTATTTATTTTTTACCACCAACATATTCTGTGGTCCCATTGTTGAAAAAGGCAATATCCGTTTGTTAGTTAATGCCATATATTACATAGTACTATCATATAATCTCATAAAAGGATTCATGTCGTATGAGTGGCAATGTAGGTGTACCCACGTTTATTACACATATTTTATCCATTTTTTCTGGAGTTACATGTTGTTATCCATTTTTACTGGTATGTTTAGTACAATCTTGACATTTGAATTCCTCGGATGTGGTATGAGCAATTTCTATTCATGTTACAAAAAAGTACATGTAATTGATATAAGAGCAGCTTCCCAACTACTTCATACTACTTCAGTTGAATTATATACATATCATTGTTACAAACCTTAGGGTTTTGGACGTATGAATATTCACAAGTGAGGATAGCCACATATATATAGACTTAGGGCCTTAAGTAATATGGGCTGGGCTTATAATATATAGTTAACACCCCCCCTCAAACTCAAGGTGGAGGTGGAGGATCCAAAGCATTGAGTTTGAGCAAGTGAAGCCGGTGTTGCTCTCTAGTTTGTGCTTTGGTTAAAAAATAAGCCACTTGCAGTTCTGACGGCACACACTGAAGAATAATTGTTTTCTGATGACAGTGAGATCGGGTAAAGGAAGCATCAACACCAATGTATTTTGTAAGTTCATGCTTTACTGGATCATTGGCAATTTGAATTGCTCCAGTATTATCACAAAGAAGAGGCGTAGGATCATCACATGGAATACCAAAATCGGCTAACAAGCATCGAAGCCATATAATTTCTGAAGTGGTAGTAGCAAGTGCTCGAAGTTCGGCCTCTGTACTAGATCGAGATACAACTGCCTGCTTCTTGGACTTCCATGTAAGGGGAGAAGAACCAAGAAAAATGCAATAACCAGTGACAAAACGACGATCAGTTGGATTACTCGTCCAAGTAGAATCCGAGTAAGCATGAAGTTGAAGCGGACTATCATGAGCATAAAATAAACACTGAGATGATGTTCCCCTTAAGTATCGTAGCACGCGAAGCAAATGCCCAAAATGAACTGAAGTAGGAGCACTCACAAACTGACTCAATATATGAACTGCGTGAGCAATGTCAGGCCTGGTAACAGAAAGATAAACAAGACTGCCTACAATATGGCGATAGCGAGAGGGATCCTCAAGAGGAGTACCATCAGTAGGACGAAGCTGTAAGTGAAGATCCATAGGTGTAACGCTGTCCGATTATCAGTAACGCTGTCCAATGGGCGCATCAACACCCGGTGGTGGCTGCATATAAACTTCCTCATGCAAATCACCATGAAGGAAATCATTCTTCACATCCATCTGAGATATGGTCCAGGAACGAGTAGCGACCACTACAATTAAAGTACAAACAGTAGTCATGTGAGCAACGGGAGCAAAAGTCCCATCATAATCTCGCCCCTGAGTCTGCTGAAAGCCTCTAGCAACAAGACGAGCTTTATATCTCTCAATGGAACCATCTGACTTGGTCTTAATCTTAAAGACCCACTTACAGGTGATAGGCACGGCATCCGACGGTAATGGAACAAGATCCCAAGTGCCAGGGGCAACAAGTTCCTCTGTCATAGCTAGTTGCCCTTCTGGAATACTCGAAGCTTCCTGATAGGTTGAGGGCTCATCAATAATAGCACCCGCACGTGGAAAGCCCAACTTATCAGGAGGCACAATAGTAGCACTGATCACGTAAATTATATCTCTGACCAACCTCAGATTCTTCAAGAATGGCAGGTGACACATCAGAAATAGCAGAATCATCTAGGACGGGAGCATCAGGACTGGCCATTGGAGTAGAATGAGGCGGAAGCGTTGTGTGACCTTTGGAACGACGAGTATAGACTTGTGTGATGGGTTGTTTATATGGTGGAGGCTCATCAAAATTAGGTGTTGCAGGCTTATCATGAGTGGAAGATGGAGAAGAGACAGGGACATCATCATCAAGAAAAGAAATAGGAGGAAGACATAAAAATGATGTAGACTCTGAAGAAGAAGAAGTTGTGGGAGGAGTGGATGGGTTATAAAAGAAAGGACGATCCTCAACAAAAGTTACATCACCAGATATACGCATGCGACGAGCGGAAGAATCATAACAACGTTAACCCTTATACTCAGAACTATATCCTAAAAAGACGCATTCAACCGACTGAGCAATCAGTTTAGTGCGCTCACGAGGAGCAAGCAATACATAGAATGTACATCTGAAAACCCGAAGATGATCATAGCTAGGGGAATACCAAAAAGAACCTCACCAGGACACTTACCAGACAGTTTGGAAGATGACTGTCGGTTAATAAGATAAATAGCTGTAGACACAGCTTCTCCCCAAAAATGAGAAGGAACAAATGAGGCAATGAGAAGGGTTCTAGCCATAGTTTTAAATAGCGAATGGCGAGGCGAGGCGATTCGCCATGGCGAGGCCTCGGCAGCACAAGCCATCAAAGCTTAAAAAATATATTTATATAGATAGTAATATCATATATTTAAGTTTAAGTGCCAAAAATAACCTTAAATATACTCAAAGAACATAATATAAATTAAATTTGGTTGTAATTACTAAAAGCATCTAAAACTTAAATGTGAATACTAGTAACATTACAAAAAAAATATTGAATTTACACTGTGTAGTAACATAAAATAGAAAAATGTTAAAGAGGGTAAATAAACAGTGTAAAGTAAAAGTAAATGAAATAAAGATGTTGCACCCTTTTCACCTTTGACTATTGACCATACTAGTAAACATAAATAAAAGTAAAAAATGAAGAGAGAAGAAAAAGAGAGAAGGTAGAACTGGAAAACAGAGAAAAGGGAGAAGGAAAAGAAAGGAAAAAACATGCATTACCTACCATCTCGGCGGCGAGATGGTAGCCAGAGTTCAGAGGAGGCCGGAAATGGATGGGTCAGCCGTGGGTTTCTACAATTTTCAAATATGAGAAGCCTAAGGAGTTCATTCGTAGAAACCCTAGTTTGGGGAGAAGCTATTTAGGGATTTTTCACCTTCAGCTTTCGTATTCTCAGTCTAAAACTGTAGTTTTTAGTTCGTGGGTCTGGGAGATGAGGTGAAGAAAGAGCCTTTTAATTTTTTTTTTATTTGTTTTTTTTTTAAAAAATGGACTGCGCCTTTAATCGCCACGTGAAAAGGCGAGCCGAGGCGACCTGAAGCGAGCGCCTCGCGAACAGGGTCGCCTCAGGCAGTGGCGAGGCGATGTAGCCCTCGCCTCGCCTCGAGGCGTCGCCATTTTAAACTATGGTTCTAGCAGTCTCAATGAGATGGCGGTGTTTTTTTTCTGCAACACCATTCTGCGCATGTGCACCAGGACATGAGAGCTGGGCAAGAGTGCCCTCAGAAGTCAAAAATTGACGAAAATTGTTAGACATATACTCACCACCAGAATCAGAACAAAAAACTCGAATAGGAGTAGAAAACTGAGTATGAACCATGCAAGCAAAATCTTTATAAGTGGAACACAACTGAGGACGATGTTTCATAAAATAAACCCAAGTATATCGAGAATGATCATCAATAAAAAGAACATAGTATTTATTGCCACCTTTTGTAGGAAAAGGGGACGGACCCATACATAAGATCAAAAGGTCTAGCAGAATGAGAAATACTAGTAGGATATGGGAGTTGTAGCTGTTTTCCGAGCTTGCAACCCTTACAATGAAAACTATACTCGATAGATGTACGACCTAAACAACCAGTACTAATCAAAGTAGAACCCACTCAAATGACCAAGACGATGATGCCACTTGGCAAAAGATGAGGTGGAAGACGAGGCAACGGATGACACACGAGCGGTAGAACCAGTGGAAGAGGGAAGATGTAAAGTGTCTAACACGTAGAGGCTCGGAGAACCTTTACGGCGATGGCCAATCCCAACCCCGCTTCGACGATCCTGAATAAAACAAGGTGAATCATCAAATCCAACAAAACAGTTTTGATCAGTGACCTGACCAACGGAAAGAAGATTCATAGATAATTTAGGAACATAAGAGATATTAGGCACTGAAAAACGTGAATTGCAGAGAGAACCCTCATGAGTGATATGGCAAGAAGTGCCATCAGCTGTCTGAATAAAAGCACCATCGGGGACCACCTTACAGGCAACCAACTGGGAGTGATCAGATGTCACATGAAAAGATGCTCTAGAATCGAGGACCCAAGACTGAGGAGCATGGACAGGAGAGGCAGCAGCGACGGAAACAGACCCCTTTGTAGCAGAAGTCGTACCACAAGCCTGAGCAGCACGACGCGCACGATACTCAGCCAACTTTTCTGGATGCTGAGGAAAACAATTCTCGTGACTGTGACCGGTCTTCCCACAATGCTTACAAGGTTCTGGAGAGTCACCTCTGGGTGCACTAAGCCGTTGAGAAAATGTCATTTGAGGAGCTGCCAAAATACTCTGCGATACAGACGGTGGAGCAACTAGCAGAGAATGGAGACGAGTCTCTTCAACAATCAATTTAGATAATGCCTGTGCCAAGGTCAGAGTAGAGGAGTTATGAAGCAACCGTGTACGAATGGACTCAAATTCTGCTCTGACTCCCATGACAAAGCGATAAATAAAGAACTTCTCAACAAATTTATGTGCTGAACACTCCTCTGCCGAGCACTGAGGCACCATAGAGATCAATGGTCCCATCAAACAATCAAAAGCAGAGTAGTATTCATCAATGGACATGGAGTTCTGTTCAATCACGTGAATTTGTTGCATAAGAGTGTGTAAGAGAGCACCACTATCCTGAACATAGTGCTGCTGCAAATAGGACCACATTCCTTTGGCTGTCCGAAATGAAGAAAGGCTCATAATCATGGACTGCTTGACACTGTTGACGATGGAAGCCATCACTTTTCCATCATTGATTTGCCATATTTTGATTTCGGCAGCATTGCTATTATCGGCCTTCCTTTCGGGTCTTTCATCAGTCAAGTGAAAAGCCAAACCGTAACCCCTCAACACTGTTTCAACTGAGAAAGCCCACTCCCGATAATTCTGACCATCAAGAGTAATAATGATAGCAATTCCATGAAGTTGCGACATGATTTGACAAATACGTAGCAACAAGCCGCGACGAAATATGAATGAAAGCGCTGCGACGCGCAGCGTTAAGGCACGCTGACAACAAAAAACAGAAATTGACGACGGCCGGGACAGATTAGAGTACAAAAACCCTAACCCCGAAGAATGACGGATCTGAAAATGCACAAAACGAATACCAAAACCTCCCGAAACACAAAACAAAGAGCACTGGCAGCACGAGCACCAAATTCCGAGTTCACGGATGGTCGCCGGAAAAAATTCCGGCCAGCCACGCGCCCTCACGCTCCGTCGCGTGGGATTGACGGCATAAACTTCGGCGGCACGTGTGAGTCACGCTCGGCTTCTGACGGCGAAACTTCGCCGGAAGGTCGGTCTCGAGGCGGCGATTTGATTGGTGTGGGAGGTGAGATCGAAAAAAAAAAAATTTATGTGTAAGGCTGTGATACCATGTTACAAACCTTAGGGTTTTGGACGTATGAATATT